CTGATGTGTAGCTAGGGATGTTGTCTGCAGACCATGGCTGACCTATGCATCAGACACAAAGTTGAGCCACGGTGACTTCTGCAAACCTGGTCCAGATCTTGCAAATCAGTTACTTAAGCAGGCCTTTAAATATGCTGACTTTGAGCTGCTGTGCAGCTCAGTCCTTTTGTGGAATCTGGGTTCATGTTTATATAAATTATGAAGATAGTTAGTTTTAAGTAATTACTAGAAAAATTTAACCAATCACCCTGTACTAAAAATTTCAGAAGAGACTAATATTAGCTTATTGTGTCTTCCTTCTTATTCTTCCCCTACTATTCTTGTCATATAGGTTTATATTTGAAATAAGTGAAAAAATTAAAGGAAGATTAATAGAAATGATGGGTAGACAGACATATAAGCGAGGCCATTTTTAACCTAGCTTAATTTTAGAGGCAAAAGAAACACACCAAAATTGTTTGTTTAGCTTGATTGTCAGTTATACTTACTTATTTGAAAGTAAATTAAAAACTGCTTATGTGTCTTTAAATAGGATATTTATGGCAAAATTTAGTAAATGCGAATCAAATTTGAAATGTGCTTGTGAGACTCGTATTTTACAGTATCCCTAATCCTTATGTACATCCTTCCCTTATATTTTTTAAAAACATAGATCTGAAACTTGCAAACAAAAACAGAGGTTTAAGAACAAACGTTAGCTGATTTTCTGTTTTTTAGACTAGGTACAGACATTCAAAAAGCCGGAAGTAGAATTGATCTGTTACGTGGTTTTCTTTAAGCAGCATAGTTTAGACTGGTAGTGAACAGAAGATACATTTGCCAGATTCTGAGACCAGATCCTGCCATTTTTAAATCAGTCTCTGTCAAACTTTTGTGCTGTTACAGGTACAGACAAGTTTTGTGTGCTGCTTTTCTGTTCCGTTATGGGTATAGACCAATTTCTGATCACTTATAACCAGTAAAACATAATGTCTGTTCCTAGCCTAAAAACTGAGATGCCTTTGAATTAATCAATCGACTGTTGTTGCATTAGTAGGATGATGCTAAAAATAGTAAATGTGGTAAGTCTGTCCTGCAGTCTGAGCTGAGCACTGTGGTCTCTAATGGAACTCTATCCTGTTTAACAGACTACCTATTCAGGCACCTCAGCCATAGAATTAAGGCCTAGTTTTCAACATAATTGTGTAACTGTATAGACTACTTTGCTGTGTTTGCCTTCTGAAACAGAAGAGGCATTAGTTTAAATTTTCAACATACTTATCAGTATAGCCATTAGAGTATTACAAAACCAAAACCAATCTATGAGTACCGTGCAGGATAAAAACAGTGCTGTTGAAATAGCTATTTAACTATGTATTACTTGCATAGTTTTAGTCTTAATGTTTTACATTTGTATTTAAGGAGGGAAAAATGCTTTTATTTTTGATAGTGATCTACTCAGTCTTGGATTAGAGTATATTCCATTAGTTTCATTCTGCATGTAGGTAGCAAAATTCTTACTGAGTTTGGTGGTTCTGAAAGAGATCCCAAGATAAGATGCATATCAAAATGTTTAGAATAAAAAACCCCACAAGAATTTTACTGCAATGTTCAATAGGTGAACATTATGTAACTTACATTCTTACTTGATTAGATGTGATTTATTAAAACTAAGGCAAAAGAAAATCAAGTGTTAGAGTATAAAAGGGAAAACATAAAATATAATGAACTTTAATTATCCCCTTTATTGTGTATTGCATCGTGTTAATAACTCTGCTAACACTGCTTTTACTTAATTTAATGCTGATTGCTTCTAACCTTCACTAAACAGCTTTGAAAATTGCTGTAGTTTAGCCTGAGACGTTTGACATTAGCTGCACCAATTTGAAATGGCCAATTTGGATGATGACAGAGCCTCTTCTGCACGTGCTTTCTCGAGGTTTGGTAAGTGTGTGGTCTTTTTGTGTGTCCTTCTTGAACATAATGATTGTTGTTGATTTGTCTTGTAAACATAAATTAAAACAGATGTGCTTACCTTAGGATTTTCAAACAAAACTTAAGTTCAAGATTTGTGTTACTTTCAGAGAAAGTCTTCCACATCTGAAATATTTAGCTTTCTAAGGGCGAAAAAATCTTTCTGCATTCTTTGTGTATGTGCTGTCTTGTTTGTTTTTGAGATCTCTTTTATGGTGATGAGATTTACTTTCTGCGACCTTGTCTACATTTGAGAATTCTCAAGTTAAAGTAAGGTGTAAATTGAAACCAATGTAGTTGCTCTGTCATGACTTCACATGTAGAAGATACTGGTGATCTGG